AGACGGCATCACAGTATGGTGAGGGGTGTAACATTTCCGTCTCACGCTTGAGGTATTCGGCCAATCACAACGCACTGGATAGCTGGCCAATCAGAGCACACCTCGCTTTTCAAAACGATGAGCTTTGTAAAAATCGACGCGTTTCAGAAAGGCGGGGCATAGAGGAGAAACAATAATGTACAGTATGTGGAAAATAATGTGTTTTTTGAAAGAGGCTATGTGTGACGTGACCCATGTCCTTTATGCGCCATAATGCTGCTCGCTGTGCTTCGATCGCATCTGGCGGGCCTGGAATCAGGACCGGAAGGTTTGCTACTTTCATCCAGTGTCACTGCAATCGATCGTAAGCCTAAACAAACATTTCAAAATGAAAAAAAAGAATAAGAAGACTAAATCTTCTGATTTAGAATGCAATGTTGATCAGCTGTCTTCTGCAGTGGAGATGTTACTGCCTCTCCTAGCTAAAGTGCAGCCTAATATGGAGGTACAAGAGAAGGCTTAAATTAAATCATGCATCACACCATTGCCACCGATGCATACAGGGCAGGAGTTAGATGTGATGTCAGTGGCTGCCTCTGACTCACTTTTTGAAGCTACTCCAGTAATGACTGGAGCTGAAGAGAAATTGCCTGCAGATAAATCACTTCATTCTGGCAGTGAGATGGTGTTTGAGAAGTCAGGTGGGTCATCTTCAGTTGTTGCATCACTGGAAGGAACGTTAAAAGCGATGCTTGCCCACATCAATCTGGATCCCCCCAGACAACAGTATTTTCTGAGAATGTTTTTTTACGTCGTGCACAGAGAGCATCCTTTACTATGCCTCAGTGTCAGGACTTTACATCTGTATTGGTGTCAGCATTACAAAACTCATTAAAAGCCACACGCCCTGATCAGCTGGCCGCACACTGGCTGTGATGCAGGACCAAGACTTAGTGGGACTTGGTAGCATGCCACCTATTGAATCTAGTGTGGCACTCGTTGTGTCTCCCGATGAGGCACTTTGTGATAAAGTGCGCTGCCCTAATGTCGAATGCAGATGCACTGATGAGCTACTGTCCCGTACAATTCTACAGCTAGCCTTGGCCGTGTTGCCAATTCCTTGGCACACATGCTTGTAGCTTTACATTCCTCTCTGAACAAAACGTCTTAGTGACAGAACTAACTGAACTCTCTTTACAAGCCATGGGTGGTATTGCCAGTCACCGTGGCACCGCTTTAGGCACTCTCGTGCAAGCTCGAAGGCAGGTTTGGTTGACTCAGTCTTCCTTGCCAGAGGTCTGTCGAAACAATTTGCGGTGACTGCCATTAGTCTCTAGTCGATTTTTTGGACCAGCTGCACAGGAACCCTTGGACCGTCGTGTGTTGGTTTCTGAAACACATACTGTCATGTGGGGACAGCCTCAGGATCCAGACCACCACCAACAGCCTCTGGTGTCCGTTATCACAATGTTGGTGCAAGATCTGCATATAGACCTCTTCAGCATTTCCAGCATCAGAACCCACAAGCTCTTCCACCTCCTAGGCCTACTGCGTGGACATCAGTCTCACACACGACACCCAGGCCCCCAGTGACGTCCCCCCACCTCTACTGAAAAGCGTCCCATGGGATCATTGACATAGAGATGTCGAGAGTGAGCTGTTTTACAGAAGGTCACCTAGAGAGTTGGAGATCGATAACACCAAATCAGTGGCTGCTGACTACCCTTTCGAGAGGGTACCATAAACAGTTTTGCTGTCAACGCTCTGTTCATACTGGCGTGAGACAGACAATAGAGAGAAATTTGAATAATTTTTTTAAGTTCCTACCATTCAGGATGTTGCACACAGCAGATGTGAAACAGGCCATTATGCCACAAGACTAGTTGGTGACGATTGATTTGAAGGATGCTTGTTTTCATGTTCCAGTTGCTCCAGAACACAGGCGATTCCTTCGGTTTGCATTCATGGGTCAAATATTCCAGTTCAGGGTCCTTTCATTTGGCCTGGCTCTGGCACCAAGAGTTTTTTCAAAGTTTGCCAAGGCGCCATCGGAACCATTCCAGAGGAATGGCATGAGGGTATTGCCATACCTGGATGACTGGCTTGTCTGTACAGCATCACCCCACCAAGCAATAGATCAAGCTCGTCATCTGTTGGACCATATTGTGGCTTTAGGGATTGCGGTCAATTGGGACAAATGCAAGCTCGTCCCAATGCAGACAATCAATTTCATAGGTCTTGCTCTCAACTCTGTCACAATGTTGGCGTCTCCAACTCCGGAGAGAATAAGGTAAATTCTTAGGGCTGTAGGCCGCCTTCGGGTGGGCCATTTTCAGCGCTACATTTCTCTCATGAGACTCTTGGGGAAGCTCACAGCAGCAATGACAGTAGTATCACAAGGTTTTGCTCTATTTCGCCAACAAAAATCATTCCAAACTAAGCCACAGTGCTGTTTTGCGTCTCTGAGCAACATGACAGCCTTTCGTTCCTGAATGAATCATTCGTTAAATGATTGTGCTCTCGCAAAGTGACTCACTTATTAACAGTGACTTGCTGACACCTACTGGCGGTTTTTTTCACATTTAAAGTTTCAAATATTTCAATTATCAGTGTTCAACTTTTTATGTTAACAATATTAAAACATTTATGCATGTGTAACTGCAGGTTAAATGCATTCATGTCCTGCATTAATCAGTGTAAATGCATCTAAATGCCACTTCAGATGAAGCTTCTGTGTTTCCTCTGCATTGCAAAGATACATTTTGTTGATACTTTCATTAGCTTGATAACAGCCCAAATGTCTTATTATAATTGACTGATTAAATATAAGAATTTGACTCAAATGATAATGCACACTTTTAGAAAAAAAGGCTTTACGGTAAAAATGGCCATAAAAAGTAAAAATCAATTTGAACTTATTGGAAAAGATAAATTTCTGTCACTGCTGTGAACTGACCACCACAGTATATGAAGAATATCAAAAACTTTAGGAGTCAGCTGCCCACTGTAGTCTTTAAGATCTCAGCACAGTATATAATTTTTTGTCAATATCTCACACCCCTAGCCACCCCTAACCTGTTCCGTGCAATTGGCAGATCTGAATGTAAAGTTTACCACCGCATACACCATCCTAACCCTCGCCAAGAGCGAGCTCTCTCTCTCCGTGTTTAACCAAACTCAGATTAACTTTAGGTTGTTTACAAATGAAATCTGTCAGTGTTCTTTTCATTTTCTCTCTTCTTCAGCCCATTCTTTTTCTCGCAGTAGTAAGTGGAAAGCACTGACTGAGTGATTGACAGCTAATATAAACCAATCTAAAATCTGCATTAAAGTAAAGAGTGTAAGGAAAAAATCTGTTAATATAGAATTTGTAGTTGTGGTGCTCATTAATTTTTGGTGAGTGCTCCTAAATTTTTGTTGGTGCTCCTAACTTTTTGAAGTTGGGAGCACCAGTGCTACAAAGTAAAAAAGTTAATTTCGAGCCCTGTATCACTGGGATTGCTTTGGCTCAGGCCATTCCAACGATGGCTTATTCAAAAGCATCTGTGTCCTGTATGAAACAAATACACAAAGATCAGAGTCACACATTGTTGCATGCTAGCTCTAGCACCTTGGTTGCAGAAGCAATTTCTCCTCAGAGGAGTTCCATTTGGACCTCCACCTGCGTGGTGGGAAGTCATCAGGACAGATGGCAGTCTGCTAGGATGGGGTGGAGTCTGGTGCAGAAGAGGAGTGAATGGCACTTGGAAAGGGGCCATGCACACATAAATGTTCTAGAGCTGACAGTTGTGTTTCTTACCCTTCTTCATTTTGGGTCTGACCGGTTAATTGTTGCCTTCCTGAAAAGGGCTAATCATTTGTGTCCTCCATGTGGTGTGAGGAGTTCGAAGTGGGATTTGAATATAGTTCTCGATTCCCTGTGTCAGCCCCCATTTGAACCAATATTACAGTCTGATATTAAATGGCTGTCATTTAAGAAAGCATTTCTCTTGGCCATTACGACAGCGAAGCGTGTGAGGGAACTCCATGCTTTATCAGTGAGTGCTCCCTCACTGATTACGCAGGAGTAATGGATTCAGTAGTGTCTCATTGTGGCCCAATCCAGCATTTCTACCCAAGATTTTGTCCCTGCATTTTATGAACCATCTTATTGTGTTGGCTGCACTACCAGCAGATCAAACTGACATACTGTATGATTGGAGCTATGTCCAGCTAGGTCTTTGAGGGCTTACATTGATAGGACAGCAGCTTGGCGTAAGACGGACCAATAGTTTGTTTGTTTTAGTGATGCATGCAGAGGTGCTGCACTTTCCAAACGGAGACTGACGCACTGGGTGATACAGGTAATTTCTCATGCATACGAGTCTGCTGGGCAGTCTATGCCATCGTCTATTCACTGTCACTCTACACGTGCTTTGGCAACATCTTGGGCAGCGTTCAAGTGTTGTTCTCTGAGATTTGTGCAACTTGGAGTTCAGCTTGCACGTTTCTCGTTTTTACAGATTGAATGTGATGCCCTTGCTAGCGGTGTGTGCTGCAGTGCTCTCTGCCTGTACGGATGGCTTCTCAAGGGGATTCCTCGTGACTGCATAGGTATTCGTCTTCCACTAGTGCTTTCAGCACTGCCTCTCTGGTCACTTGGTATCACGAGAATGATCTACAGGTCGAGATGACATGTTAAGGGGTTATTATAGCTGAAGACACGTCATGAGTCACGAGGTGACAACTTTGTTATTCTGTTCTCGGTCAAGCGCGAGCATGAGGGGTTTTCCACTAGTGCTTTCAGCACTGCCTCTGGCAGTCCTCCACAGAACCACAGTTACGTTTGTAACTAACAATCATAAGCTTCAGAATATACAGGTTCTTGTATTTTTAAGTCTTTGTTTGTTTGTTACTTCACTCACTGTCTTGGCTGTTGAAGCGCTTGAGATTTGTGACACTTAGAGATGCAGACACACAGCGTTTCACTTGACAAATTACAGCAAATGCACACCGTGAGTGTCAGAGCGGCACAATCGATACAAACAAGTCTAATTTTCTCCTCGGCTAAAAGCTCTGTCTTAGTAGAGATGGGCTTTATTTTATTCAGATTAATTCCATTAAGGTTCTTGTAGACTATTCAGATGGAAAATACTTTACACAAACACATTTGCTGGCTCCAAGCAGTGTGTGATTCATTAATGTCCTTGCCAGCACATTATACAGCTACTTCAACAAAGGTACATCTATTACAAACACCATAAGATTTTCCTCAGAAAATGTGAAAATGTCATTTTATTTTTAGCTATGAATATTATGAGTGAAATCAACCGCTCAAACCACATTCAAAGAAAGAATAACACATCATTATACGTAACGTGGCCATTGTCTACAGCTCGAATGGTCGGTCTAAAAGCAGCTCATATTGTGGTACTATTATGAGACGATGTCCATCATTCATGTCTCATTTACGGCTTTCTGTGGTTCCTCAAAGAGCAATCAGACTGACGTCACTGAAGAAGCTATGCTAGCGGGGTAAAAATAGCATGCTTTTAGAAGCTTATGGATAATGACAGCAAACAGGAAATAGATGCTTTCACTGATTAGATCAAAGAACTGTGTAGCTCCTTATTTTCACTGAAGAAATATTTATGGCACTGACTGAGTTTCAGTTTTCATGGTGAGAGATAAATGAATTTCCACTGTTTCTTTGTGGCAGGAGTTTGCCGGGGAGGGTTTGAGAACATTAGCGCTGGCGTACAAAGACCTGGATGAAGACGTGTTTGATGAATGGATGAAGAAACTGCTGTTTGCCAGCACAACACTGGAGAACAGAGAAGAAAAACTTGGGGCTCTGTATGAAGAAATAGAGCAGGGCATGTTGGTAAATGTGATTGTAAAAATAAAGGTTATTTATTGGCATTGATGGTTCCACAAAGAACCTTCAACATCCATGGAACCTTTAGGTTCTTTATAGTTGAAAAAGGTTCTTTAGATTATTAAAATGTTTTTCACACTAAGAAAACAATGGTTCTTTTAAGAACCGACTTAAAGGTTCTTTGGGGAACCAAAAGTGGTTCTTCTATAGCATCACTACAAACCCCCCCTTTTGAAACCTTAATTTTTAAGAGTTCACAATGATTTCATGTTGAGTTACAGGAAATGTTAAATTTTTGCTTTTGAAACAAACATGTCTCTCATTTTCTTGAAGCTGCTTGGTGCTACAGCCATAGAGGATAAACTTCAGGAAGGAGTTCCAGAGACTATTGCCTGTCTGACCTTGGCTAACATCAAGATCTGGGTGCTCACTGGGGACAAGCTAGGTAACCAGTGCTAATGAGAACATGTAGGATTCATTGAAGTCTGCTCAACCTTAATTGAGACACTTTCTCACTGTCTTACACAACATAATTTAGAATCGTTCCTGTTGTGGTTGCAGAGACAGCAATGAACATTGGCTACTCCTGTAACATGCTCAGAGACGACATGAACGAGGTGTTTATAATCTCAGGTCACACCATGCTTGAGGTTCAACAGGAACTCAGGTGACATTTCACTCTTTGTCTACTCTGTACACAAATCGAATTCATTCTTCAAATTGAATTTAAGGTATTTATTTTTAATTATTCACATGTATGCATTTTGTGTTTGTTTATAGCCAGATAGATTTGAACGAGTCAGATTCACCAAAAATGTCATTTCTGTACAGTGCCTAAAGCTTGTTTTGTCAATTTGAATTAAACCATTATTTGAGCTATTGTAAAATAAAATGTATTTTTCTGTTGCTTTGTGCACAGGACAGCTAAAGAGAGAATCATGGGACCCAGCAAAGACAAAATCAGCAGTGGCCTTGACATGGAAAAGACAGAATTGTATTCAAGTGACTCTGTCTTTGAAGAGACCATCATCGCAGAGTACGCTTTAATCATCAACGGACACAGTTTGGTAAGGTCCTCAGTCTGGGTCCTGAAGAGAATTTGACTTAATTGCTGCATTAATAATGTGTTGCTAAGCTCCTAACGATGGCCGTTCTGTTTGAACCGAACATTCGGTTCAGCATTATCCTTAAAAAATTGGGTTTTAAGTTAGAGAGTGGCTGAAATTGGTTTTGCTTGGATAAATGTGTCTTTGAGGCCAGTGAGATCAATTCAAAGCTCTGACAAATGAACTTAATTGAAAGAATTCTGCCAACACATGCTGAGAGTGTATAGATGGCATTGAATGTAAGGTTTGTGTGTTGTTATTTGAAGGCTCATGCCCTGGAGGCAGACCTGGAGCAGATCCTGGTGGACGTGGCGTGTCTGTGTAAGACAGTCATCTGCTGTAGGGTCACTCCACTGCAGAAAGCTCTGGTGGTTGAGGTCATAAAGAGACACAAGAGAGCCGTCACTCTCGCCATCGGAGACGGAGCCAATGACGTCAGTATGATCAAGTGTAAGACATGACTAATGACTTGCTATCTATCTATCTATCTATCTATCTATCTGTCCGTCCGTCTGTCTGTTTATGTCTATTTTTGTCTAACTGTTTATGTCTATTTTTGTCTAATAACTAATAACTCTATCTGTCTGTCTGTCTTTGTCTAACTATCTATTTGTGTCTAACTAATAACTCTATCTATCTATCTATCTATCTATCATCTGTCTGTCTGTCTATTTTTTGTCTAACTGTCTATTTGTGTCTAACTAATAACTCTATCTATCTGTCTCTGTCTGTCTGTCTGTCTATTTTTGTCTAACTAACTGTCTATTTGTGTCTAACTAGTAACTCTCTCTATCTATCTATCTATCGGTCTGTCTGTCTGTCTATTTTTGTCTGACTAACTGTCTATTTGTGTCTAACTAATAACTCTATCTATCTATCTATCTACACTGAACAAAATTATAAACGCAACACTTTTGTTTTTGCCCCCATCTTTCATGAGCTGAACTCAAAGATTTGAAAAAGATTTTTCATGAGCTGAATTTCATGAAAAATTCAGACTTTTTCTATGTACACAAAAGGCCTATTTCTCTCAAATATTGTTCACAAATCTGTCTAAATCTGTGTTAGTGAGCACTTCTTCTTTGCCGAGACAATCCATCCACCTCACAGGTGTGGCATATCAAGATGCTGATTAGACAGCATGATTATTGCACAGGTGTGCCTTAGGCTGACCACAATAAAAGGCCACTCTAAAATGTGCAGTTGTATCACACAGCACAATGCCACAGATGTCGCAAGTTTTGAGGGAGCGTGCAATTGGCATGCTGACTGCAGGAATGTCCACCAGAGCTATTGCCCGTGAATTGAATGTTCATTTCTCTACCATAAGCATCTGCATGCTCGTTGTCCTCATCGGGGTCTCGACCTGACTGCAGTTCGTCGTCGTAACCGACTTGAGTGGGCAAATGCTCACATTCGATGGCGTCTGGCACTTTGGAGAGGTGTTCTCTTCACGGATGAATCCCGGTTTTCACTGTACAGG